AGCTTTTAGGCCTTCAAATTACACCACCAACTTTCCTGGTTTTTCAGTTCACAGTGGGCAGATCATGGGACTACCTGGCCTATGTCATCAACGAATGTTTGCCAATACTTTGTAATCTTTCTCTCTCGCTCGCTACATAAACACACACACACACACACACACACACACAGAGAGAGAAAGAGAAAGAGAGAGAGAGAGAGAAAGAGAGAGAGAGAGAGAGATTCTCTTGGTTCCGTTTCTCTGGAGAACCCTGACTAATGCAAATACTCTTTCTTCGTTCCTGCCTCCCTCCTTTCATTCCTCCTTTTCCTCTTTTCTCCCTTCAGCAAATAGTTACTGAGCTCGAACTTTATGCTAGGTGCTACATTAAATGCTAGAGGTATGTAGATATAAAATAAACAGATAAAAAAGCAAAAAATTTTATAAGGACCTTATGATTTAGTGGACGAAGGATGTGTAAACAAGGAATCATAGTGTTATGTAGTAAGAGTTGTAGGCACTCAGAGCTTATTGACAATGCCTTGCTCTGCTTGAGGGAACTAGGAGAGATTTCTCAGAAGCTGTGATTCTTGAGCTGGGTCTTGGAAAAGGTAAGGAGAGGCTCAAAGGCTAGGGAGTGATGTCTTCAGGGAAATGCAAACAGTTACCTGACTACTGAATTAGACCATCTCAGGGCAGACAGAAACCAAGTGAGGAAGTTAGAAGGGTGGTCTAGATGCCTGATCTTGTAAGCCTGACATCTTTTCATTGAACTATTACCAGTTTGGTCCATGAAACAAACAAACTTTTGATTTCACAAACAGAAAGTATTTTCCAGACTCTCTTTTCTCAAACATGCAGGCTTCAAAAAATAAATAAATAAATAAATAAATAAGTTAAAGAAATGAATCTAAACTCAGAGAGCTTCACTTGGGTCCTACTGTGGTAAACTAAAGAAACTTCTCCAAGGATCTGGGCTTCAGCTTCTTTGTGAGACAGTGCTACTTAGTGCAAAGGCTGTAGAATTTGGACACAAGTTAGCACTAGGTGACTTACTGGCCAAACAATCCAGGATTAGTTGCTTTGTTTTCCTGAGTCTTCTTTTGCTTCCTGGGCAGTACTTACACTCCAGCCCTCAGTTTAACTTCCTTCAGGAAAGCTGCAGTCACCACTGCTTCTGCTGGGCCTAGGAGGCTAGCAGTAAAATGCACGTGTATAATGAGTGAGAGAGGGAAAGCAACTGTCTCTAGTCTTTTTGGGTTGGGCACAAGAGCCACCAGCCAGAACTGGCACAAAAGGTTTGGGGAATCAGAGCATGGCTACGTCACCACCTTGAGTGAAGTAAATAATTCAGCTAAATGAAAGTACTCCAGTTGGTAGTTTTTGGCTGCAGCAGAGCCATCTAGTCAAAAAGCATAATCCCAGGGTATGAAAAATCACAAACAATCACAGGACATTGGTACAAGGAGGAAGCTTATAGGCTATTGATTCAAACTCCTTCATTGTACAAAGGAGAAAACCAAGAGTTTAGGAAAGCTCAGCTAACCAAGTATTATTAGGCATTCCATTACTCTTTTATTAGGAGAAATCTGGTATTAGGAAAAACTCAATTCACCTGAGCAACTGGTTTGGTCCTTATCTTTTGGGTATGGAAAACCTGATTATAGATTGAGTTGCCAGATAAAATACAGGACATCCAGATAAAGCTAAATTTTTGACAGACACCAAATAATTTTTTTTTTACTATAAATGTATCCTTAATACAGCATAAATATAGAATGCTAAAATTATTCATTTTAATCAGAAATTCAAATTTAACTTGGCTTTCTGTTATTATTTTTCTATATCTGGCAACCCTAATTATAGAGTGTCTTTTCATCTCCCATCTTTGCTCTGACTCTTAGGAAGCTTAAAGGCAAATGTATCATCATTGTTTTCTAACAGTACTTTATGGTGTGCACTTGGCTTTATCTTGTTTGTTTATTTTCCATTCACCCTTTTCTTCATTAAAAAAATCTAGTTGTTACAAGTATCTCAGTAAGCAACATCAAAAAACTTTGCTTGGATATTAACTTAAAAAACAGCCACCTCATGGGGTACTAATTAAGGGCTATACTTTGTACTCAGTCCTGAAGATGTAAATATAAGTAATACCTTATGTCCAATCTCAAAGAGCCCTACTCAAGGCGGGGTCGGGGGAAAGACCGTTGTTTATACAAGGTAATCAAAATGCAGAGAGACAAATTACGAGGTCCAAAGTCACACAGCTAGTTGGTGTCAGAAACAAGCTGTGTTTCCTTACATTGCATTCCATGTAGTGGGCTGGTTCACAAGAAGTTTATTACCCATATCTACCTAAATACCTATGGGACAGTTCAGTAGGCACTGATCATTTGGCCTTCTCAGCACCCATCATTTTTCTAGGAGTAGCATCCCTTTATAGAGGCAATTGCTCCTTCTCTTCCTCAAACTTTTCAATATTAATAGGATCTTCCGATCAGTATACTTCTTCTCCATGACCTCAGGTGTTTGATTCAGGGTGTGGACACGTGACTCAAGCCAGAGCAAAGTCCTTCCCCAAGAATTCCCAAATTGGAACAAGAGAAAAGGCAGTCCCTTTCTGGTGGCAAAGATGGAGATGAAAACGTAAGCAACAGCCATATACCTTGTGGTGTGGAGGAAGCCAGGCTGAGCACATAAAGTTAATAAACATAGAGTAGCAGAGACACTTGCAGCATTCATGTCTTTAATTTCAGCTGTTCTCAAAGCTATGCTGCAAGTCTGCTCGATCCTTCTAGCCGAAAATAATTTTAGTCATGTTTTCGTCTCTTGCAACCGAAAGGGTTATGGCTAATAGAGATAATTTGAGCTGAATTACTATTGGCATTTCTCCAGTGGGCTTTCAGAATAATGTGCTACAGCACAGTTTACACAAAGCTCGTTCTGTCTCTATACAATGCAGAAAAGCTCCTGTCGTTTTAAAGGTACTGCTAAACCCGTATTTTCCCAGTCAGCTTCCAAGACACCCTCAAGATGCTTTCACTTCTGACAGATTTGTGTCTAGCAAGATCAAGCAGCACCACGGTGGGTTAATGCTAAATAGTTAAGCTGACTTCAAAATCTCCAAACTAGCTGCATGCTGCTGTTATCATTGCTCCCATTTTAAAGATGGGGAAATTAAAACCTGGAGAGGCAAAGGAGGTTGTTCAAGTTCATACACACTTGGCTAAGTTTATTCTAGAACCTATGTCTCTTGTCACTTAGAATATTGCTTGTTCCACTATAGTCCCTCTTAAAAGCTGCTATTCTTTTTTAGGATATTCAATCTGGAAAAAAACAACATTGATTATGACAACATAAAAAGAGCAAAAATTTCTCAGGCTTTATGATTACGTATTAAAAGTTATCAGTCATTTTGGGGAGGAAGCCTTAAGAAAGTTGTTAGACACAATATACACTTGAGCATCCTCGTTTTGGCTGTACATCACAATCCCTTGTGAAGCCTTTTAAAATAAAGATTTTTGAGTCACCTCCATTCCCACAAAAACCAACTGAGTAAGAATGTTTGGGAGATGGGTACTAGGTTTTCACATATTTAAAGAACTCCAAGGATGATTTAGATTGAACTGGTCTAAGGACTAGCATTTAGGATCAATAATGTAGATTTTTTTTTTTTTTGAGAGGGGGTTTCTATATCCTCAGCGTTTAATTAACAACATTTAGAAAAAAATGTCTCTTGGTTGGATTGATATAACCATTTACACAACCAATGTAGACATACTATTTTAGCAATGTTATACCTCATTCATTCAACCAATACTTAGTAATTCCCTACAAGTTGCTGGGTTTTGCACCAGCCACTTGAACTCAAAGATGAGACAGATGGAAACCTTGCCATCAAGAAGCGTTGAAGGACAGATAATAGATGAGCATACATGATATTTAAATGAGACGGTGATGTCAGTGTACCATGGGTGGGTGTTCCAGGGAAGAAGCTGGTGAGAATCAGGGAGGGTTTCTTGGGAGAGTATTTGAACTGGGTCCTGAAAGGCAGGTAGGATCTGGACGTGCAGATGAGAGGAAGATCAACTCAGACAGAGGAAACAGCATGAGCCAAGAATAGGAGCAGGGAAAGAATAGTAGTAATAATAATAATGATAACTATAATAACAATAATAGCAGCAAGCAACTATTGAGCACTTGCCATATATGCCAATTACTGTTGTAAGTGCTTTGTGTGGGCATATCATTCAATCCTCACAATAAAGCAATGAAGTAGGTGCAATGAACTATTATTCCTCATTATACAGATGAGAAAACTGAGTTACAGATAGGTTTAGTAATTTGCCCAAGGTCAGGTGCCAAATAAAGTAGGTAGGGGAAGGATTTCTATTTTGTTCAATAAGTTTTTGGGGAATGAGTGGATATTTTAATCCAATACCGTCATTTCAAAGATGTGGAAACTAAGGTTCAGAAAGGTTAGGCTCACTCAACTGGTTGGTGGCAGTGTTAGAATAAGAGTCATTTTAATGCATTTTCCATTAGGCCAAGCATGCAGTTTGAGACCAAGTGAGAGCAAAATCTTAGTATATCATTTTCTCTTAATCAAAAATTGTTTTGAGGAACTGTGATATCTTGAAAAGTAGCTAAACCCAGAGCTGACCTCTAACAAAGATACAGCTTTTAAATCAGGAGGCCAAATCACAAGGGAGAGGAAGTAAAGCATGGTAGAGTGGAACTTGTTTTGGACAAGTCTTATCTATAAAGTGTTCTCATCTATAAAGAGATGCAATTAGACAAGAATATTCCTAAAGGTCCTTCTATGTTGGCTATTCTGTCTGATCCTAGGCAGGGATTGAAACTGAGATTATGTCTATATAAGTCTCTAAGTTTAATGGACTGAAATATAGCTAGCAATAAATAATCATGCTCTAAGAAACCTACATCTGGAGGCCAGAAAGCAGCTGTTAGGTAAATGGAGAGGGTAGCATTCTTTGATTGAGTCTTTATTCTTCACTTACTGTTTCAGATGATGCTAAGAAAGTCATTTGATGCATTTATGAAAACCTCCAGGACCTAATCAATTTCTTCCTTCCAAAAGATGGGACTTGGCAGGAGAGAGCATCATTTTCTGTGATGCTGCAAACTGAAGAAAAGACAGAGTTATTTTTGGTTGAGGCCACCTCGACACTTCTGGCTTATTGTCTATTGCTTCACCCCAGAGAGCATGCCCCATCTGACCTGAGTTGAAAGCATTCCCTACTTGAAGTAACAAGACAGGTTCATGTGTATTCCCTATGTTGTGCTGCATTTTTTTTAAGTAAAATAAATTTTAAAAATGAGAGTTGAGTGTTGTTTATAATTCATTTTGACTGATGCCATCGCATCTAATGCAATATTTAGCTGTTTTACCTGTTTAGAAGCCTGAGAAGAGCAGTGATCCTGGAAAACATTCTCCATCTATTGTAGAACAAGACGGATGGAGAACATTTTTTCCACACAGCAACAATGATTACACTTTCAATTTATATAGCACCTGTCTCTGGAGAGTCTCAGAGAGACTTTGAGAATATTTTTTTTCATTCCTCATTTTAAGAAGCCTGTAATGTCAGTTAAAGAGATCTCTTGTCACATGCAGAAAGTGAGGCACACAACTAGCCTCCAGATTTCTTGAAAATTCTCCAGTCTGTAGTTTTGTTGCTAAAGCCAAGGTTGCCCCTGGCCCAGGCACCAAAGAACAGCACTGATTTATCTAGTCCCTGAATTTTCAACACATTGGCAGCTCTCTGGTGAATGCGAATGCAAGAAAAGATCCTTGCTCTCAAGTTTGTTAAAATATCAGAGTCAATATTGAGCATAATTGGAGAAGAGATTTATAAATATGGAGAGAGGAAGTCTAGAGAGAAACCTGAAGTGTTAGATTGGAACTGGAGATAAAGGAGTAAACTCATAGCTTTGTTTTAAAATATATATATATATATACACAGAGATGTAGAAATAGACATAGATGTGTATATATATGTATGTATATATATGCATGTGTGATAATGTATGTATATACATGCATATATTTCTTACTGCTGAAAGGACCTAAAAACAATGCCATTCCAGTAGCAATGTGCACACCCGGCTCCCATATCTTGCTTTCCAAATATAATTTTTTGCTAAAAGGAAACAAGGTCCCATGGAAAAAGGGTTGATTCCAAGGCTGAGGCAGGAAAAGTATAAGATGAGCTCAATACATTTTTGGCAACAGAAAGTAGGAAAATAGAAAAATGCTCAAAGAATATGGTAACAAGTCAAAGGAACTAAGAGTCAGATTTGTCCCAAATCTAGGACAATTTAACCATCAAAATAAATAATGATTGTAACATTTTATGCAACCACTCATTGCATAAAATAGAAATCCTTGAGTTCATACTGTAAAGAGAGAGAGAGAGAGCTTCCTTATAGTTCCAATAAAACTTTATTTACAAAAATAGGCATTGAGCTATATTTGGCCTATGCGCTGTGGTTTTCCGACCCTGAACTAAAGGAAGCCATTGAAGACTTTGACCCTACAAATGGCATCATCAGAATTATTCCTTGGGAAGATGCATCCAGCTACTGGATAGAAAATGGATTGCAGGGAATAGAATAAAAGTGGAAAGAAAAACTAGGAGGCTGTTGCAATGGTCCACATGTTTGCACCATGGAGAAACCAACACAGCTTTTATAAACCAAATATACCTGGGAATTTGGCCTCACAAACCTCAGCTGGCACACAGCTGGGTCTGTCTGTCCTTAGCTCACCTTGATTCTCACCATCTTGCCAGTTTAGCCACCTCTGAAATCTCAGCTACCTCTGAAATCCTATGTCAGAGTTTGTAAATCATCTTGGGAGCCCAATTATTCCTTTTCTTTGCTCTATGGTGTTTTTGATTTCAAGAGCTAAGTCTGTACTATTTGTATGAGAGGAAAAAATCAATAGAAAGAGAAAGTTTAATAAAAAAAAATACATTCTCCATTGACTTTAATTAACTTGGCCTTAGGTTTACAACTCTGGCAAGTATGGAAAATGAAAAAAAAAAAAGAGAGAGAGAGAGAAAAAACAATCTCATATCTCACCCTATAACACAAAGCTTTTTAAGAATAAAATCTCAAATTGAAATCTGAATGTATCAACAATTGATTTGCCAGCAACAAGTTGAAGAAAAAGGATAAAAAAGAAAAGAAAAGAAATTATCTTGTAGGATATGGCAAAGAACAGGCTGGCACTTTTAACTCCTGTGTTAAATGGCCAAACACCAGAATGAGGCCAGTGGTTTATTGATGTCATAGAACCCTTTACATGTTCTTCCGGAACCAAATGATCATCGCTTTGGTGTCTTCTCCAGTCTCATGACTTAAGATCCATAGTCTTTGAAACCTGTTGGTATTCGCTAGTTTTAGCACTGATGCTTTCTGCCAGGAAACAAGGTTCTCTCTGGAGAAGGAATGGTCAGGAGGAATGACGTGGGGTTTTTGCCTCCTGGCAGGTGTCTGCAGAGAGAACCCATGAATGCATGGATATTTCACAAAATTTCACACCCACAAGACTTTTCTGTCATTTGAAATGATGCAGGCTATTAGCAGACATGTACAGTAGTATAGTATATAAGTACACATGCACACACGTGTACAGGATGCTACACATATTCCATAAATACATGTGTGCACTCAGTTGCACAATAGATACATGAGTGAACATCTATTAGCATAGATAGCTAAAACATATATCTGCATAATCAAATAGATGGTGTCATGCAAATATAACACACTATATTTCTCTACACATTTACAACAGGTATTTATATGAAAATACATGTAAGTCTAAAAATACATTTAAGAGTAGAACTACAAACATATCCAGGTATGTGTACCATACATACATACACAGCATCTATATATAATATCCATGTGAGTTACATGATCTGGTCCCCATCATCCCTGACTATTTCCCCTATGACTGTAATAATTCTCCCTCCATCATTATATTCCAGACTATTCCCTGCCGTCCCACAAATGTCAAGTACATCCTCACCTTAGAGTTTTTTGTACTGGTTGCTCCCTGTAAATGAAATACCCATCCCAGATCCACCAGACTATGGATCTTAAGTCATGAGACTGGAGAAGACACCAAAGCCATGAGATATCATGAGGACTATTTTATCACTTCTTTTAAATGTCTGTTCAAATATTAGCTTCTCAATGAAATCTATATAACCACTCATTCTATTTAAAATTGCAGCCCACTCATTCCAGCCCATGTGCTTATCTAAATTGCTTTATTCTAGCACTTATCACCTTATAAGATATCATATCATATACTTATTTATTACGTTTACTTTCTATCATTACTCTCCCCACCTTCCATCAACCCCCACCCCCCGCCAGCTGAAATGTAAACTCTAGGAGGGACAGGGCTATTTTTCTGGTTTGTTCATGAAACAAACTATATTTGTCCACTAATGTTCTAAGCAACTAGAACAGAGCTAGGTTCAGAAAACACTTGGTATACATATGTGTTGAATGAATGAATGAATTGATATACTCATATATGAATAAAATGTAGATATATATGTTTGCTGAACCACGTCTATATATTATGAGTGGCAACATTTATTCCTATAAACATTCCTATGGTTAAATGCAAGCATATATGTGTTCATATTCAAAGGAACTGAGACACATTGGTAAGGGGTGTGTGTGTGCGTGTGTGTGTTTGTGTATGGAAAGTATCTGCTCCTGTTGAATGTGCTCAGCAACTCACAGTGGAATGTGAAAGGAGTGGGTCTAAGTGACTCCCTGGGCACCCTAGCTACAGTAAACTATCACTATAGTTCATAGAGAGATAAGTCCAGGGTAGCAAGAAGTTTTGGGGGAAAAAATCTACATTGGACACTGGGAGATAGATTTTGGACGCTGAGAACTATGTTGGTTCCCAGAACTTAAGTGTCAGGAATGAACTGTTCTCTATTAAACTGGATAACAAACTAGTTCAGAATTTCAGCTTTGAAAGCTTTACTATAAGGTGAGGGAGACGGACAAGACAGAATAGTTTTGATTTCTTTAGATCTGGGCTCAAACATACCTCTCTCTTTCAAGATTTTCATCAGGCTTGTCCTAGGGAATATGAACTAGACTTACAGGGAAGGTTTCAGGTCAGAAGCCATGACTTTTGGAGAATGGTGAAAACATAAAAAGTCACATATTTCTCTTCTCTGCTTTCCCCTGTTATTGACTGGATATTTGTGCCCCCTCAAAATTCATATGTTGGCCGGGTGCGGTGGCTCACACCTGTAATCCCAGCACTTTGGGCCAACATGGTGAAACCCCATCTCTACTAAAAATACACAAATTAGCCAGGTGTGGTAGCGGGCACCTGTAATCCCAGCTACTCAGGAGGCTGAGGCAGGAGAATCTCTTGAGCCTGGGAAGTGGAGGTTGCAGTGAGCCGAGATCGTGTCATTGCGCTTCAGTCTGGGCGATGAGAGTGAAACTCTGTCTCAAAAAAAAAAAAAAAAAAATTCTTATGTTGAAACCTAATCCCTCATGGATGGCATTTGGAGGTTGGGGCTTTGGAAGGTAATTATGCCATAAGGACCCTGCCTTCATGAATAGGAGTAGGATACTTATAAAGGAGGTCTCAAGAGAGATCCCTCACCCCTTCCACCATGTGAAGACACAAGGAAGCAAGAAGGCCCAGACCAGAAACCAAATCTGCAAGTGCCTTCATCTAGGACTTCCCAGACTCCAGAACCGTGAGAAATAAACCTGTTATTTATAAGCCTCCTAGTCTATGTTATTTTGTTATAGCAGCCCAAATGAACTCACACATCTGTCTTTTTCTTTCTGTTTTTTTTTTTTTTTTTTTTTTTTTTTGATGGAGTCTCACTCCTATCATGCAGGCTGCAGTGCAGTGGCATAATCTCAGCTCACTGCAACCTCTGCCTCCCGGGTTCAAACAATTCTCCTGCCTCAGCCTCCCGAGTAGCTGGGATTACAGGCGTCCACCACAATACCCAGCTATTTTTTGTATTTTTAGTAGAGATGGGGTTTCACCACGTTAGCCAGGCTGGTCTCGAACTCCTGACCTCAGGTGATCCACCCACCTCAGCCTCC